GACGGTGATACATGAAAATTAGATTTGATCCCATTTTTGCTGGACGCTGGCGCTTTTACAAAGATCACGCCGCACTAAAAGGAAAAAGAACAAGCACAACATCTGTATTTTCAAAATAAATCACCAAAAGGCAGACAAATTTTGTCTAAATCCCAGCTTTATTAATAAATATATGGATATATTTCTACACAAATGCTGTCAGAATGCATTGTTCTGTTTGGGAAGTGGATGGCAACATGTAGCATGCAGCACACATGATGCACATGGATTTTATTGTGAAATCATAAGTTTCAAAAAGACGACAGCGATGCAATTTCAGCTGTGTTTGGAGTGATCCCCAAAAAATACTAGACCTTACGTCTGTAAGCAAAATATCTCATGAGTTGCTTGATCGATTTTTAATTAAACTCTCAGAAAGTAATCACTGGATACATTTACAAATAATTAAGTTTTGGAGTCACTCCAGTTCAAGATGGCCTTTACAGCTAATCAACATTAGCCACTGCAATAACGGTAAAACTTCAGTCAGTTTTAGAGATATTGAGCTACAATTTGGTATGGCTATAGCTGAGAGTCAACCTCAACACATACTGTGAGTTTTATCAAATCTTGCATGATCTCACAATACTGCATGAGATCCTGCATATTACCATTTATAAAGCTTGACGAAAACAGCTCATTCCAGGTTCACACCGCAAGATAATAAGGATGATTTTTGGACCAATTTTGCTCTTCCAACAATCTTAAGGATGCTTCAATTATGATGATAGTTCTAAAGATAAAAGATATTCCTGCTGTGGGTGGCAAGTTAAGAGTGATCTAGTCAGCTCAGAAGTTCGTTAGGACCGCTCCAACCTCAAATCGGAGATATTCAACATGTTGGTTTGTCTTGGTCCAACATCCTAGCGTGTGTTGTTCCGAGGACAAATGAGCACACAGCCTGCTGAATGTGATGTAGCCAATCAGAAAGCGAGGTGACGGAAACAAAACACCTGCCATGCAGCAAGCAGAAAGTCAAGTGGATGTTGGAGATGTCTTTTTGTTTTTTGTTTTTTATCTGTTAAAACTAGTCATCAAACAATCGCCGTCTTCATCAACGGCCATGTTTATTCACTATGAACTCACATTTGAGCTTGAGAGGTCTTGTGAGATTTCCCATCTGACATCTGAATGTTGGTGAGTGAAAGCTGTCCCTGTGTGGTGGAATATCTTTTGCAGTGTGGTTGTACACCATACAATGTAGAACCAAACCTGTTTTAATGTGATTTTTTTGATCATCATGAGGTTTCTGAAAATTGGTCGACAGTTTTAAAGTCTTGCTGCGTTAACCAAGCATAAAACTACATTGTCTCTCAACATAAGATGATTTTAGTTTGAAATTCTAGGTCTTTAATTTACTAATCCCTCTTTAATCTAATCAAACCACACACATGCAGACGTACAGGATGCTGCACACAGAACAAAAACGTTTCCCTTTGACCACTGTGAAGAACTAAAATACAGATTGCTGCCTGCAGAGGTCGCTGCAAACAGACACATTTAGTGTAGACAAACATGCTCAAAAACTTCACAGTGAAAACAGTTAAAACTGCTTCAAAAAACAGTTCAGGTTTGTACTGATCAGCACTGATCAGATGAACTGTCTGCACACACACACACACACACACACACACACACACACACACACATCCTTGTATTTGCATCAAACTGAGGACTTTGTATTGACTTCCATTCATTCTTGTAACTGTATTTATGCATAAATCAGACATTATTTTCCCTAAAATTAATCATTACTGGTCTATAGTTAACACTAACCAGAACCAAAACTTAATTCACATCATACCTCTAAACCTAACTAGTAAAGCACAGTAGAACTGCAAATAAAGTGAGGACACTGAAACAGTCCTCACTTTACATCAAACACCTCACTTTGATAGTAACTATGGTGCAAATGGTCCTTACTCTGTAGTAAAAACAAGTACACACACACACACATGCACACACACACACACACACACACACACACACACACACACACACACACACACACAGAGCAGTTCTTGTCTTTAATGGCAGAAGAAATAAAAAGCACTACTTTTAAGTAAGTTTGCATGCTTGGTCTTTCCACCTGCTGGGATCTGCTCAGTGTAATCTGTTCAGAGGGCTCAACAGTCCTGAACATCAGTAAACTAATAAACTTTAAAGAGAACGAGATGTTATGATCACGTGTTTTACAGAAATAAGTTTTCCTGCTTGGTTTTACCACCTTCAACATGAAAACTGCACAAAACCTGCAATCTTTCTGAATATCTAAACACGTTGTTCTACTGAGCCTGGTTAAACTTCTCTGATACGAAACTTTACTGAGTCGATATTTGTTCCACAGCCATGAGTTATCCTTCCTTTTTTCTAACACTCTCAGCTTTAAAATGTCATCTATGATGCAAAGACAGAGGGATGAGTACTTTGCCTGAACTTTTGTGTATGAAGTCATTCACTCATTGTTTTTTTTTTCTTGTCGTATGAGGCTTCTGAAGCCAGAATCAAACACACCTCTAGATGCTGACGAGTTACACTTTTACACAGTAAAGCTGTATTCGTTGACTCCACTGACGTTTCCACGCCAGCTGGTGATTTTTGTATTTCAACAAGACACACACGCACCCAAACACTTTAGTCTTGCACATGAGAACGGTTACATCTAAAACTGATGACGGGGATTTGTTTAGCGTTGGACAAAATTGTATCGTGTCACTGATTTATTGCAGCACAGCGCTAATGCTGACACGAAGCTAATGCAGAGCCAACGCTAACACTACGAACTTGTTTAATCAGCTGAAACACCGTCACAAACCGGAGGAAACCCAGGAAATGTGGACAAAGACCACAACGTCGGCTACAACACGCTCTCCTGAATGGTGGAAACAAATCTGCTCAGTTGAGAATCCGCGATGCACTCAGTCAATCTGTTCTTATGAAGTCAACACTGGAAGGTGGACCACGGCTGTTAAAACAGAGGAGTTAGCTTGACTGGTGACTTGTAAGTATATCCTGATGCATCTCAGTAATCCAGGTAAAAAATCAAAAGGAAAAAAAATTGTATAGGTCCTCTGGACGGGTTCTTCTTTAATGAAACGTTTCATCTCTCTTCCAAGAGACTTCTTCAGTCTGAGAGTTTCAGGCAAAATTCAGGCTTTTGAGTCCTGCCTCCAGGTGACTGATACATCACATGGCTATGGTTCACAGGTGACTCATACTCACATCACATGGCTATGGTTCACAGGTGACTCATACTCACTCATACTCACTATATA